GGGAGGGGGGGAGGACGGGAGAAGAGAAGAGAGAGAGAGAAGGAGAGCGGGACATCGGCCGATGCAGCGGTGACTTTCGGTGGGGTGAGATCATGCCGGACTGTGAATTGGGCAGTCGTTTTCAGAGCAGAGCGAGAGAGAGATCAGTACAGAAGGAGGCGCTAGGCTTAAGGGAGCCCTGAAGAGGACGATAGGACAGTGAGAATTAAGAATGGAGGAAGAGGAAGCGGCCCCGAGAGAAACAGAGAGTGGCGCGTGTCGCGCGCCGCCAGTGTGATGGAGAGAGAGGAGCTCTCGTGCGTGATGTGTGCTGTGCTGTGTGTGTGTGTGCGTGCGAGTGTTTGTGCAGCTGAGGAGAGAACGAGAGACCCGAGAGAGAGAGGTGTGGCGTGTTTGCTGGCATTGCTGTGTGTTTGTTTAGTGAATCAAGTACTATATCCATACTAGTACATAGCAGACAGTCGCATAAACGGTGCATAGCTACACTAGCTATTATAAAAGCTGGCTTCTGATTAGCTAGAGGTAGACAGGGCGGATCCAGAGGGTTTTGTGTGACAGTTTCCTAGTTATTATTCAAGCTAGGGGGTCGGGGGCATCTGCCCCCCCCCGGGACAAACCTTTTTTAACAATTTGGGCTAACTATTTTGGTGTTATTCTGGTGATTTTGATCGCTGGTAAATTCTGAAGATACCCAGCCTTGTGGAGCCGATTTCTATGGAAACCGCGTGCAACGGCCTAAATCCACAGCGCTGGTAGAGGTGCCAGTAAAATCGCCGGTTGCGATGAAATTTTGGAAAACTCCGTATGTTCAATCAAACTTCAAGTCTTATGAACATAATGGTTATGTGTTGCGTGGCAATCCAATTCTGGCCAAATCTACATTTGTTAAAAACATCGCGTATTTTCGCGGGCGTGCCCGCAGATCGGATTTTGGGGTTCTCTATCCTCCTTTCATTTGCTTACCTCATTACCTGCGATTATAGGCTCCTTATTCTACAGTCGGGAGGGGATAGTTTCAATTACTAAACTATACAAGGCCCGCCCATGCGCGCCGCCTATCTACGTCTTTTTCGGTGACTCTGTGGTGGAGTGTTGCGGGATTCTGTAAACCCGTGTTAGTCCCAAATGTGTTCCATTACACGCCGAAACAGTGGAGCAAAGGGATGGTTCAGGAACCTTTCTCAAAAGAATGTTTCGTTGGGCGTTATGAAGTATTGCGACGAGATGGCGCGTTCGTTTAGTGTCTTCAGATTAAAGATGGCAAGCTCATCATACGTGTTAGCACTGTAGCACACACTATCTGCCCCAAGGACGATAGTGTAGAGCACTCATCAGTTTTACCACTGCCAAGGCCTACAGGCTGCGCCAGATAGAGAGCTGCCCCATCTGGCTAACCAATTTAAGGCAAAATCCAGAGTAATAAACTGCACTGGGCAGTTGGCTACGTTACATTGTACATACTGACACTAAATACGAATGCCAATATAATTTATCGATTTAAGGAGATAAGACTTTCTTTAACCAATTTATGCTTTTGAAATTTCACTGTGACATTGTAGCCTATACATCGGCATGTATGATTTTACTAGCCAACGCGCAGTGAATTCTTTCTAACGACAGTCAACAAATCAATTGTTTTAACCGCTCCTCTTTGAGAGGTCAAAGGTGTCTCTGACACTTTACTGCTTCGCCTGTCAGGCGAAAGTAGATTTCATGGTCCTTTCAATTGCCCTAAATGCAGGATTCACGCTGAAACAAAAAAGTTCGTATTTTTCAATCGCTGCTCGACCTTATGTCCTCAGAATAAATGTCTAATCTGCCCTGTGCATGACCTATTGACTGGTGAGCTCCAATTTCGGCACAGTGTGACTTATTCCTACCATGATGGATTACACCAACTAGCACGAGCCTAGGTCGAGCGTTTAGATTAATGTGCCGCATTCTGCATTTCCCTCCTTACCTTAAGTTAAGGAGTGATGTTCCCCTTCTTTTAACCTCTTGACCCTTTGACTTGACCCAAGCTTGCGTACGCCTAACTGCGGTTTGAGATCCCCCCAATGCTGCCGAATATCGTGACCCGTACGTCGACGCGGTTAAGATTTCGCTGCACCACCTCGTGACGGACGGTACGGACGTCGGAGCAAACGGAGGAGGTTGCGGCGATCAGCCGATTTCTATAGCTTGCATCTGATCGTATGTCAGATGAAGAGTAATAAACAGGATAATAGGGCCTTCTTTTCTCTGCTCCCTTCTTTTTCTGTTTCTCTCACTCCTTTCTACCACACCACTTCTCTTTCTGCTCGTCTCGTCTTGNAGATTGCATACCCTTGCATAAAATTAGCACCGGAGGCAACATTGAACAGAATGCACCTAAGCCCGCTTTACAATTACAGTGTGGCTGACATGAATGCCTGTTGCCCATTATTGTCATCTGTGACTCATGGCAACTTGATAAGGATTGGTATAGCTATCAGGAAACTGTGGAAAGAGTGGCATAACATCGCTCGAATAACGTAGATGGGACTCTCACTGGGTTCACATTATAGATTAAACTTGATCACACACTAACCAAGGAGCCAGTCGATCGTAGGCACCAGTAGCTTTTTATTGGTTCTGATGTCCTGTGAGCAGTATAAAATTAAATCGGCTAAATGGTTAGTATCAATTACAAGATCTCTAATAAGTTACGTGATGGACAAGTTGTGGTCTCGCCCTCCATATTTCTCCCGCGTAATAGTCATCGTTCATCTATTTTTTTTCGTTCAGATTATGTGTAAGATTAGCAAAACCGCTATATCATTTTTCGGAAAGGTCATAAGCATGAGAATGCCGAAAACAATGTTCTACATTATGCGAGATATCCTGTATGGCCGTCATTCTTGGATTTTCAAAATGCCGTTATAAATTACATTATTTTGCGTAATTTTTGCCTTCATAATCACCTCTAAACACTTTCTTAAAAAATATCTAATCTATGTTTCAGGAGCCAAGGGAATCATTGTTATGACATAACCAATCTAACCCTGTAACACTTGGTATTTTCTCAGGAAAATTATTGTCATTAAAAATAAAAAAAATCCATTAGTATATTAGCAATAATTTAACCTTTCACTGCGATCCTCTGGCCGTTGCCGGACATCGGCATGACTTTATATAGCTGCTGGCAGAAGTTGCACATGATGCCTAGCCATGCTGACTGTCATTCTGCAAGCTATCCGAATCTTGAAGACGTTGTCGTTTGTGAAGAATTACCCACAGTTTATTTCGTTCGATTCATGATGTACGAAAGGATAGTGCAGTTACTGGATCACTAACTTGATCGAAAAGAGGTTGTCCAGAACTGGTCATGCTACATGCTGTTAAGCTGCGGCTGAGCAGATTCTGGAAACGTGCCATAGAAAACTCATGAATCAGATTATGCTGTGGATTGAGCTGACGCACACCAGACCAGATCCGCTCAATGCCGCCCTACTAGCAGAAAACTCGTCGTCGCCACACATCCAACTTTAGTGGTTAAATGATGAATCTTGTCCTGGAACAGTTTCTTCACAAAGAACCCAACTTCAAGCATTCTGCGTGAGAACCCAGGCAGATAATGTCCAGGAAGCTTAGCAACAATCAGCAGTTGACAGGAAGATCAAATCCAGAAAGCGTGACAGAAAGGACACATATGACGATCTACTACAACTGCCATTCAATCAGCTGAAAATCGTAGGAAGCGACAGAAATCCTTCAAATGCAATGTTCAATTTTGATTGACTTACATCCACCGATTGAACCCAATCTTGCACTTTGATGAGAGCCATCCATGGAATTCCCGATCTCGTTCGTGCTCACCATCAAGCTGGGGAGTCGCACATATATAGCAAGTTATTCTCCGCTATGTAAGATGAAAATAATACCTGAAGCGCCTCTGCCTACTTACATCGCAGACAATCATGAGCTTGAGACAAACCATTCAGAAACCTGGCGTGAACTTCAATGACGGAAACTTTTATCTGTGACAAATCGATTTCCATTCATGATCTCGATTGGAGCAGATCATACATGTGATACAACTCAAACAGATGATGAAGAACATTCGGGTTAATTGCATTCCTCAATAATGCTCAGACTCGCTCGGTCGCAACTTTTTGCCTTGGCCATCCTGAGATTCACGGTCTTTCAGCTGAATTTCAATGACCAACTTCAATCTTGGCTGTAGACAAGCCACAGAGCCATCATCATGTTTCAAACCTCAAGTGCTGTGAGAAAGCCGTCATGAACAAACGTTGATCGCATAAAGGCTGCCATCCTGAATATCACGGCAATCCCTGTTGCTGCTGAAGGTGACAGCTCATACAACTTCATCAACATCTATATGTCCCACACAGCGAGTGATCTCACGATCCTGAATATCCTGACGACACTGTGGGGCAGAAGCTGTATGTGGACTTATACGTTGCAACGAACGCATGAATGGAGATTCAGCCTCTGGCACGCATCCATGAAAGCGAACAACAGGCTGTACATTTCAGAACAAGAAGCAAACCGGTAATGATGCTCTGACCAGTCAGTAGATCTGAAAAAACAAATAGATCGTACGGTCGGTTTGATGGTACTAGCCCAGATAAAGCCGTACAGTCGATCAAGAACATGCGATTGAACTACGATTTCACCTCTACTGGCCCGCCGCTTCCCACGAGCACTCGTTTTCACTCCGATCGTTATCGACTTCCTACCCGCCTGTCACTGACAATTCAATAGCTTATCCATAGCCTTGACCAACTTGGTAAAACGACAGAAAACTCATGCTGATTGCACAAGCAGCAGTAAGCATCAAGAACAGGCTAATGATATTGCGATACAGGGAACGCCATTCTAACATCACCATCTTACGAAAATTGGCTGTTTGTTGATGGAAATGGTGCTCGAACGTCAAAGATGACAACGAAAACCCAGCGACATCCACCACAGTCAAAGATCTCGGTCCGTGTCATTCAACGACCCACTTATGAACCATGAACAGCGCAGGATCCGACGTGATTAGTCCTGGTGTTGGACACATCAAGCAGAACTCTATTCTAAGAGTAAAACAAGAAGAAACTACTGACAGAGCAAGGCCTTCAATACCTAGATTTCAATGATACAAACAATAACATATACCAATGGGCCGCATTCCTATCTCACGAATAGACAAAAAGCGGATATAACTCAATATACGCATTGTCCGAGGGCAACACTGAATATAACAGCAAACTCTCCTAAAGTTAATCATTCCCAGCCGTCACAATCGCCCATACTAGAAGCAACCAGAGCATGCAGTTTGAAGCCAAACAACCTACGAGGAAGGCTGACCACATTGGATGATTCAACTTAGCAGTAGCGCGCAATCCCGACGTTATGGCCAGAAGCACAGCTAATTCTTCCTTCACCCCAGATTACAGACTCTAGTTGCTGGTCGTTGCCGGCCGTATGACAAGCATCTGTCCAAACTACCACATCGATGGCCATGGGTAATCAGTATTGTGGAGGTAGGCATCTGGAAGCGTAAGGCAAAGACAAGAAACAGCGTTACCTGTATTCCACGTCATCTTCACTGGGGCTAGTACAATGTCAGTTCGATTCTCAGAGTAGGTAAAGACTAAATGGTTTCAAGCACTAACATCAAAGGCTGAAAGAACACAGTCAAAGCCAACTAATAAAACTACCAGAGGACAACGATCCTATATCAGCGAGGTGAAGAGACATATTGGCCAGTCTTTGTATGCTTAGCGTAACTGCCCAAAGACGTATTCATATCGCAAGTATTCTCCTAGACCTCAGAATGCATCTTTTTGCAATACATCCCGGCAAGAAGTTGGCTCAACAACTGTGGCCTCTTGAGGAGCATATCGAACGTAGTGGCGAAGTACAGAGTAAGAGTTTGGTGGGTGCAGGCCAAGCCTGTTCATGTGGCAAACACTGTTCGATCTCCACACAAAACATGCTACCATCAGCGATACGACAAAGGTCACATATACTACATATCACCACCCAAGTTCTTAGCGAGCGGGGCCGACAGTCATTGGTAGGCGTAGAGTTTGCTTGGCAAAACATAGTGCTTCAATGTAGAAGACATGACTTAACTGCTACCGGACTTTGCTTGTGTGGAACAGACGTGAAAAACGATGCAGACTGTATTGTCGGCTAATGCACACGCATGACAGTGAAATGAACTCTATAATGCATAATTCTGTTAAAAACATGTGTGTCAATGTTAAAACTGCCAGTGGTACGTTTGCCTGTCGTTTCTACTGATAAGTTTGATGCCTGTCTAAGATGATATAAATGATTGACACATCTTGACGTTATTAAATGTCTTAAAATCTTTAATTTTTGTATTACTGTTCTCCATAACACTTATTCGATACTTTTATTGGATTCCTTGTCCCTGAAAACATAGGATAACCATATTTTAAAAAGTTTTTAGGGTGATTAGAGGCAGAAATACGGCCAAATATGTATTTTATGGCGGCCATTTTGAAAATCCAAAATGGCGGCCATACCGGTATCTCAGCAAATGTAAACATTGTTTTTCGAATTCCTCATGTTATAACCTTTCCAAAAATGCATAGCTTTGCTAATCTACCATGATTCTGAACGAAATTTAATTTATTGACATAGTGAACCTGACAGTTGACTATAAGTATAAGGCCTTATTAAGGGACGGGTGTCGATTCCCAATGCACGCAATTTTCTCGAGATAGCGTGCTTTGGCTACGTTGTCTAGTGAATCAAAGTACTTGTCCATACTACGTACACTTCAGAGATCTTCAGACAATTGGCAAATGTGCATACACCAGATGTTATAAAACGCTGCGTTTGATAGCTATATGCAGTAAAATCGGTAAAATTTCTGAACACTCGCGATGTAAACAAACTAAACTCTAAAGTCCATGAACGCAATGTTGCGTGCAATCTCGCGAAGCTAATAAGCTCTGCGAAACCTGACCTGTGTAATCTCATTGAACTCTAGCGGAGCACCCCAACCCACGCTGATAAACCTGTCCCGAAAAATCGGGATCCACCTGCTACTATTTAGTACTAACATCTATTGCAATAATAACACTATTGTAGAGATTTCGGTTACACCGAAGACTCTATTTTCAAACAACAACACACTACAGGGCGCGGCCATTTTGGAATAACTAAAAACCTGGATCGGAAAACCAGATGACACCCAAATTCCACTTAAGAAATTAATACACAAAATAAAATAAGAAAAAAGTCGAGCCATAATAAAATACAGGTCAAAAAAATAATGAGTAAATAAGTAAAACGATAATTAGAATAGAATACAAATGGAAAATTACTCGGCTAGGACAGCTGACGCAACAGGTTACAGGTCTAAATACGGAGCATAATGTAAACAAACGGCCGCTTCGAGGTAAGGAAGCGATGCCAGCTGGGGACACCCCTGCTTGTTGCTAGGAGAAGGGGGTGGATCGTACACAGCCAGGTAGCAACCAGGCAGTATATAAGGCAGCCGAAAAGCAGGAGAAATCAGAACGCCGGGGCAGCCGTCCCTAAGAGCACCAAAGACACGGATCACTACAGACACGGAGCACTAAAGACACGGAGCACTACAGAGACACGGTTCACTATACCGACACTGATCAATACAGATACGGATCACTACAGACAGGATCACTGCACGGAGACAGACGAGGAGCACCGTAGGGAGTGACTAGCTCACCCCGGAGAAGGCAGAAGATAGAAGAATGAAGATAGAAGAAGGAAGAGAGAAGATAGAAGAAAGGAGATAGAAGAAAGAAGAGGGAAGCAGAAGATAGAAGAAAGAAGATAGAAGAAAGAAGAGAGAAGATAGAAGAGGGAAGAAAGAAGAAGGAAGAGAGAAGACAGAAGAAAGAAGATAGAAGAAAGAAGAAAGAAGATAGAAGAAGGAAGAGAGAAGACAGAAGAAAGAAGAAGGAAGAAAGAAGATAGAAGCGAGAAGAAAGAAGAAGGAAGAAAGAAGATAGAAGACAGAAGAAGGAAGAGAGAAGAAAGAAGATAGACGAGAGAAGACAGAAGAAAGAAGAAGGAAGAGAGAAGATAGAAGAAGGAAGAAAGAAGAAAGAAGATAGAAGACAGAAGAAAGAAGAAAGAAGAAAGAAGAGAGAAGATAGAAGAAATAAGAAGGAAGAGAGAAGACAGAAGAAAGAAGAAAGAAGGGAGAAGACAGAAGAAAGAAGATCGATAGAAGAAAGAAGACAGAAGATAGAAGAAAGAAGACAGAAGAGAGACGACGGAAGAAAGAAGAAGGAACGAGAAACGGCGCGACGTAGAGAGGAGGGAGGAGAATGCCGACAGCAGGTGCCGTTGCATCTTGTTCTCGCTCCCGACAATCGCAATAGATACGTCGGGTTTGCGTTCACACCGAAGCACCTATATTTTCGCACGTAACCGTTCACTGTCCTTATGCCATGAAATATTATAGTTACGACAAATAGTACGTCACGCAGTCAAAGCACTCATAACGCGTCGGGTAACCCACCAGGTACGATACTGCATAACTGTAGTGTGTGTATGAGCAATAAAACTACCGGTTCCGTATACTTAAGTATCTTGCGTTGTGTTTATTTGCCTCATTGTTTTGCCACCTGCTGCCACGCAACACAGTCCCGCTTTGCCACCGGGAGCAAGAAATGATCCCGAAAAACAATTGTGCATTCACACGCACATAATTCTCGTAGCGGCTACCCCTAGGGCCACTACAGAATTATTGGGGGCCTGTCCGGGATTCTTTGCTTTTCTGTTTTAAAATTGCGGCTGTGCCAGGAGGGCGAGACTTTGAGACAGTAAACCAGTTACGTAAGATGAATAGTCTAAGGAACCGAATACGCGATTTTTTTACCCCGTCCCAGAGTCATGTATGCTGTAGGCCTACGAGCGTTCCAGGGCCTACGCAGGCAGGGTTAGGATTAGGCCGTGAGGCAGAAGGCAGATCCCCTATACTTAGGAGGGCACCGACCAGGCCGGATCTAGAGTATCGACGTTCTCCGGGTGAGAACCCAGTTCAGGCCCACGAGCCCGAGCCTCGCCCTATGCACCCGACACCCCAAACCCCCCTCGATGAGAGGAGGGCGTGGAGAACGCCTTAACCACAAAGTCACGGATGGTCCTCGGAGCAGGAAGGAGAAGACGAGCTCCAGAGGGCAGTGCGCCTTGGAGAGGAAGCACCGGAAGTCAATAAGGACCCCGGCAGACAAACGGAGGGACAGGCCGCCAGGAGGCGGAGGACAAATAGGAAACCAAGCGGATTTGAGGAGAGTTCGAGTTCGGAGGAATCGGAAGCCAAGGAGTGGTCAAGAATGGCTACGGCGGCCTCCACCACACATAGAACCATCCGAGCATCACCCGAGCAGAGCAGGAGACAACAGACCAGGAGTGAAGCGCGTACAAACTGGACGGAGCCGAAATCAGCCTTTTATCGAAGCAGAACGGAACAGTCTCTAGGCGCAGCAGAGATAGGAACCCCGAGCAGAAGGGCACCCCACCCACTCGAGATAAGGAGTATAGGCAGACCGAACATACGGCCTCACACTCAGCAGATACGGGAGAGAAAACCGCCAACATTTGGGAAAGGAGATGGGACCACCTTAAAACGGTTCATTGTCAAATTTGAAATGACGGCAGCCTACAACCAATGGCCAGTTCACACCTGGGCAGTCCAACTTTGCCTATGCCTTGACGGTGAAGCCCTGGAGGCTATGATTGAGCTTCCTCGGACACAGCGAGAGGACTACGACCGCCTGGTGGCAGCACTACAGCGCCGATTTGATCCAGCGGAATGGATACATGTGCATCGTAGTGAGCTACGACACCGACACCGACAAACCGGAGAAACCCCCGAGGAGTACGGAGCCACCATGAGACAACTTTTCAGCAGGGCTTACCCAGGAATGGTGGGGCATTAGTTATGACGGTGGGCTTCTGACATATAGGTAGTAATCATATGAAATACCGCTTACAAGAATGTTTTATTCCTGTCCAGAGATCTCAGCATAATGTCTACCAGCACACAGAAAATCTAACGCTGAATTACACGACAGCAAATCCAAGTATTAGAATGTGAAATAGTCTCGAATAACGCTGAATCATAACACGCATTTATAGGCAGAAGTGATGGGTAAGCTGTCATGCTCTGGTTATGTACAGAGACATTAAACACAGTACACGATCAGTAGATACAGATCAGTATCATCAAGAGATATGATATCCTTCTTTATATGCTCTTGGTATCATGCAGATTGTACACACACCCGACGAAAACTTGTACGTGCTTTAATACCGTGTGCATGTGCTTCAAATGCGCACAACCTCACGTAGCTTCTTTAACTTCGTAAAGAATTTCTCACTGCAACAAGTTTTTAGTCGACAGCCATTTCGATTGTGAAAGCCTTTTAATAAATAACTAAGATATTCACGAGGTGTTAAATACTGTATATATGATACTGTGTGCACGTGGACAATAGAGATTCTGATGGCCAGTAAGGCGAGCAATAGAACATTGTCTGACGCTTTTTCTCAATGTATTATAGAAAAAACAGTGAGACAACTGTAAGCAACGCTGTAATATGCGTTGTCAAGTGATAAATGAATGTACGTAGACACATATAAGACGATTGACTGGAAACACACGCTAACTAGTAAATCGTTAAATGTCACTATTTAATGCGCGATATAATATTAATTTAGAAACCAAAATATTTTTTAGCATAAAAAGTAAAAACCAACGGCACGTAATATATCATTTAACCCCTAACTGATCAAAATGTGTTTAAACTAATTAATATAATTAACATTAAATTGACTGCAATGGTTTAAACATCTTGAGCTATGTATGAGTCGCTAATGCTTGTTTACAATAAATGGAAGGGCATAATAGTAAGTCTAATACAGTGAAAGTAAACCCTAAAAATATAGCAAGAACACGTAAAAACTATATTTCTATAATATATATTTTGGGAATAAAGGTTCTGGTAATATTTACGGTAACATGGTCACTTTATTATCTCGTTGTATATTTGCAAACTGTGTAAGGGTAGGGATACATCCACCGTTTATTTGAGCTAGTTGGCCTAGTTTCCGCCCGGCATATACTTGAGTTGAAGTGTCATGGTATTTATATTAGCAGTCCCTAAAACATATTATATCTCCCGAATTATAATGTTTACATTGGTTAATACTACTATATTACTATAAAATCAACCTGCTTACGTACTTAATGAGTGTCTACAGAGACTAAGGTTAACCAACCAGTTTAGCACAACTATATTCAGCGTGTTAAAGTATTCATGATCAGTCAGTGTAATTCTTTCTTTCGTGTTTATTATTCACCGAACAAAATATTTCAACCCCCGAAAATC